TCCTCCGTGGCCTCCGCCGCGCCCCGGGCCAGCGGCTCGTCCCGCTGGGTGTCAGGGCCCGGCTGTGCAGCAGAGATAAGCGCAGGGCCTGCCCTGCACGGGCAGATTTGGGAGGGTTTCGGTCAGAGCACTTTTTTCTTTCCACCTGCACGGATAACCGAGTTTCCAAGCGTGTGGCCCTTACGTTACCCACATCCAAGCCAGAGGCAAGATCAGAGTAAAGAATTACCATCTACAACTCCCTTTGCCCAGAGGCTCACCAGGTTCTCTGCTTCATTTACTCGAACAAATGCTTGATAATAACTGTTGATACAAATAAAAGAGGAAACGCCGGATGCCACAAAACATGAGCAGTGAAACGGATCGTTTCTCCAAGGCCATTTGCAGTGTACCCAACTGGAGCAGTGACTCAGAAGACAAGCATTCCTCCCGAGCTCCAGGGGCTGCAGCAGAGCAGGACCAGGACTCTGGCAGCTCAGGCAGGGCTTCGCTCTCCTGCCTGTCCAATGAGTCACTTCAATTTCAACAATAAAGTAACAGCCTGCATCTCCACAGCAAACAGCAGCAACAAACAGGAGCGCTGCGACCCTGGCAGTTGGTGTGTGATAAGAACAGGCAGGGATGGGAAGACAGACCCAGACCCTGGCTGTCACTAGGAGCACTCTGCAGTCAAGCAGAATTCAGACTGGAGTGCAGAGGATCTAGTAACCCATTATAGAAAGCCCAAAACTAAAGAACCCAGACAACTCCTATTTTTCCCAGCCAGTAACCTGAAAAAGCATTAAGAGTTATGACTAAAATGGTGCTTTCAGGAGAGCAGAACTGCAGCCAGCTGCAGCTGGCTGGATACCAAACCAGTGCTGTATGGAGGTATTGGTAGATTAATAGATAGAAAACAGATTAACAGACTTAGAAACTCTTTATTCTGCAGATTTCTTTGAAGACCATTTTATAACTGTACCTTAATACACAGTATTTTAGAATTAACCACTCATTGTCAATAATACATTACAGACACACAGAAGGAAGAATCTTTGGGGCTCTCAGATACCCCCTTCTTCTTTCATCACATTCAAAACTCATTAATTACTTCAGCTGCAGGCAGCTCACCTCTCTGCAGACTGAACTGGCCCAGCAGTATCTTCTGCCAAGAGGCAGGTGGGTCACTGCAAAAACGGGATACAAGACACACAGAGGGACTGCACTGCCTGGGTGTAGTGTGGAGACCCAACAGATACAGACAGAAATATAAATATAAATAGAGAAGTCTAATACCTACAAGTGCTCCTAGTTTCTTCTCTGTCCTCTAAGCAGAGGTAAAGAAAGTAGAGCCCCATAGCTGAGCTCCTCTCTCCTGATGGGAAACTTGAGCACAGAGAGTGGGACGCAGCAGCAAGACCTCTAGCATCACTGCTATGAGCCAAACCAGCAAGTGTCACACAATTTTTCAAGATGCTTCTTCCCTCCTAAAGAAATCTTCTACCAGCTTGTCAAATGCCTGTGAGGAATATTGCTTTAGCACATTTAAGGGAATGAGTAAATACTCCTCTGCAAATCCAGTTGGAAAGTGCTCATCAGGAAGGGGGGCCTGGCTGACAGCACTGGCTCCTCCTGGCTGTTCTCCACTCAGCTGTTCCTTCCCTTTCTCCTTGCCTGTGTGACAACAACTGGAACCTCCTTTCAAGCAGAAATCTGACTTGCAGGAGTTCTGCTGAGCAGCCTGAACAGTTCTGAACTCTTCAGATTCCTCAGTATATTTCTCTGGGGACTCATAAACCACCCCTCGCGGTGCTGAACGCTGGGCAGCTTTTCTCAAGAGACACGTGGGTTCCCAGCCCTTCCTTTTCCTTTGCTGCTGTTCAGACTCTTGCACAGGCTTTGGGATTTTGAGGTCAGGAAGTGCCTGGGGGGCAGAACACAAGTATTTCTGAAAGTAAGTTTGGCACATGCCACCCCTCACAATTGGAATGACGGAGCAAGGCTTCAGCCACTTCACAAACTCGCAGAGTTCTGAAAAGGAGGAGTGATCCGAGTACGGAACGGGGTGAATGTTGGGGTGGGTGATCTTCACGGGCCTGCCGGTGGGGAGGATGGCAATGGTGGGGTGCAGCCTGTTCCAGCTGGTGAGGGTATCGCAGCGGATCTCGCCGACATCCACAGCTCGGATCCAGCCGGCCCCCTCCTCCGCGGTGAAGACATCGGGCAGCTCCAGCAGCCGCATCTGCTCCAGGCGCCAGGGACTCACCACCACCCAGGTCCTGAACTCCAGCGCCAGGTCCACCAGCAGGGTCTCCTTGCCCAGGCTGTACAGCCCTGCGGGGAGAGCGGTCAGCGGCGGGCGGG